CATCTGCCTTGTTAGCTTGAGGGTTTTCTCATTCCACGATTGGCAGGATGCTGCTGTCCCGTGCCCGACGGTGGGAAAATGGACTGTCAGGCATGTTTTAGTTCCCTAAAATGGAGGCAATTTCTGCACTTGGCTTTGACCACACAGCTTGGAAACGGGCATGATGGGGTGGCCTTGGGTCAGCTTTTTGGCCTGGCCACGTTGTCCAGTCCAGCCACCAAAACTCGGTCCTGTGGCAAGAGCTGGGAGCCTTCGGAGCCACTAATACCATGTCTCCTTGTTTCCCCGAGGCTGGTCCCCCTTCCTCACGCAGGTCCTCCGCAGGGACTCCCTGACCTGGCACAAGTGACCCAGTGGGCTTTGCACTTGCCCGAGGTCAGGACATTGGTGAGACTGTCAGAGTGTCGCTCACCGAGTGAACATGCTGACACGTTCGGGGCCGGGCGCTCGCTGACACTTCAATGTCCCTGAGCAGCATCCTTCCTCATGTCCCAGCTCCGCTCGCGGACCCCGACTGCGCAAGGTCGCACCCACTGTGGGGCCCGGAGCAGCCGCAGGTCCCTGGCCCGGAAGTGTGTGTGATCATGACATTTTTAAAGAGAAAAGCAACTTCTAATACCGTGGGCAGCTGGCTCTTCAGAGGGACGAGTGGCCTAACAGTTTTGAAGGAGCCACATCACTATTTGTTTGTTCTAGAGGAATTCTAGGGCAATCGAAGCATGAAAATACCCAAACCTGGAAGATGAAGAGCAGTCTCGCCCATTGGGTCCGAACCGCAAGTCTGTGCAGGGAAAGGGCCCGGGCGCTTTCCTCATGGTCTAGCTTCTCGTCCTCAGACGGCGCTGTGAGTTTTCGTTACTGCACCTACTCAGAGTGCGTGGAGAGGCCGTGTCCCTCCAGCTGGCCCGGACCCCCAGCTGCCATGGCGAGGCCACGTGGGCATGTCAGAGCTCACGCGTCACCTTGACCCCGTTGCCCTCCAAAAGTCGCTTGTTGCTCGGTGGGCAAGTGAGTGTTGTGCACGCTCAGGAGAAGTGTGCCTCGCTCTGCAGGACTCGCGCCCGTGGCCTCAGGCCTCCATTCCCTGCGTCCCCTCCGCGGCGGCACCCTGGTCTGCCTGATCGGCAGTGCAGACTTCTCCAGGGCCCACAGCGGGCCAGCTGCCGAGGCCCCTGAGTCTGCCCCCAGCACTGGGGATTTGATGGTTCTAACTGCCCCTGCCCACCCCTTCCTTAAACTTCGTCAGTGATTCCACTTGTTTCTGTTAAAATCCAAACACCCACGGTGAAACCCCCTTAGGGCCCGGCAACACTGGTCATCTTCCACCGGTCCCCTACTCACCACTGGGTGCCAGCGGAATGAACCACCTGGAATTGTTCAGAAACTCCAAAGTACACTTGCTTCTAGGACTGTCCCCTGCTAGTTGCTCTACGTAAAATGAAAGCATTTTTTCTTTGTCCAGTTTCATTTTTATCTCCTTATAAGCATGAGTCCTTCAGGGCAAGCGCATTTCTTTACGCCCACCTTGGTTCTGAACGCAGACCAGAGGCCTGCTGAGTGAGGGCTGGGGTGGGTGTGGGGGTGAACCAAACCCTCTTCATCGTTTTTCATGGTCGTCTGCATGGCTCTGAGGCAGGCTGACTGGTTTCCTTCCCTTCCTGTCTCTGTCCACCATCCCCACCTGTCTCTGACTGAGGATTCTATCTGAAGTCTAGCTCTGCCCTGGTCCACAGATGGTTTCCCATTTTCTGCAGAGTCCAAGCCTGCTCAATATCAGTTACCCCTCTAGTGGCCAGTCAGCCCCTCTAGCTGAGTTTCCGGTCCTCCGTGCCCGCCTCCAGCCTCCAAGCCTACCTTTCCTCCATTCTTTGCCACCCGCTGCAGCAGAGATGGTAAGGTCTGCGGTTTTGTTTACGCCGTACCCTCACCCAGGTGTTTTCCTTGCTCAGTCCCGGCCTATTGACCTCACAGTCACAGCGTCCCCTCCCGCAGTCAGAGTGAATCCTCCACCCTGTAGCTTTCAAGACCACTTTCATCTTTTCCTCCCTTATGATACAGATCGCATTCTGCTTTGCATGATAGCCTTTGGGTTTGGTTTTATTTTTGCATGTCTGTGTTTCGACAGAATGCAAACTCCTTGAGGTGAGAGCTGAATCGGTTCAGCCTTGAGAGCCACAGGCAAGCTGGTTGGCTCTGTGGAGTCAGTGCGCGAGGGGCGTGCTTCCTTCCACCCAGCAGCCACGGAAAGCTATGTGATCTCTTTCATTCCTTCCTCCCAGTTTCCCAGCTTGCAAAAGGAAGATAATAACACCAAATTTGCAGTATTATGATGCAGATTAAATGAAATAATGTATGTGAAGTCTGTGGCTTAATAAGTGGTCATTATTGTGGCTGCTGTTATTGGTACTATTGCAGGGACTGGCAGTTGGAGAGGGATCCTGTTTTGTTTGCCTGAGCTCTTAGTATTAATGGTTTTCATTTAACTGTGTGGCTAATTTCTAGCTGTATGTAACTGAGGCTAAAAATTACCCATTAGCCTTGCTGTTCAATATAAATCATTTTTTCCACTAGCTTACAATCTTTTATTACTTATTCTGGTATTACAACATTTTACTGGGAGGAAAAAGGTTGCTTGCTTCTTCAATGTTTCCACCAACAGAGGGCCAAATAGCCTCCAGTGTTTGTGAAAAGAATTATTCTAGCTTTAATCCTTTTTAGCCATTTCTGTGCTATTTTCCAGTAGAAAATAGGAGTTGGATTTCCTACTTGAGAGTTACTGACACCTGCTGTATGGTCAGAGGGGCTTTTTGGCCTGCAGTTTCTAAGTCATCTTCCGCTCCCACTTCGGGTAACATTTACTGACGGTGTAAGTTCAGAGGCTGGACAGCCCCAGCTGAAAGCATAGCTCCTGCACCGAAGAACTTGGTGAAACTGGAGTCAACTAAGGGAACGGACATCTAATAACATTATGCTTTTCTAAAATTCTAGGAAATATGTAGTCCAGATCATTCTTAATTTGATTTAGGTATTTTGTGCTTATTTCTTATTAGTTTCCTAGAATTGAAATCACAGGGAGCTGATTCAGTGTGGGGGATACCTAATGTCTCTTTCTTCCCTTTCCAACTGAGATAATGATGAAGTGAGCAAAGCCAGAAAAAAAATACTCAGATATAACCACACACAAAAAATGTCAAGAATTGGTTATGTATACTTAACGCAGATGCATCATCTTCCACAATGGTGAGACTAGGTTAAGAAATAGTGCTAGAAATGTACTTAAGACCTAGACCCTGGTGAAGGAGGGGCTTATTTCCAGAGATCAAAGTACTGGAGGAAAATAGAGAATCAGCTTCAGTTTTATCAACTGATGATAATGATGGTGATGATGAAGGAGGTGATCATGGTGGCCATTGTGATGGTGGTGGAGGTTGTGGTGGAGATGGAGGTGGTGGAAGTAGTCATGGTAGCTATGGTGGTGGCGGTGATGGTGGAGGTGGAGGTGGAGATGGTGGTAGAGATGGAGTAGTGGTAGAGGTGGTGGTGGAGTTGGACATTGTGGTGGAGGTGATGGTGGGGGTGGAGGTGGAGATGGTGGTAGAGATGGAGTAGTGGTAGAGGTGGTGGTGGAGTTGGACATTGTGGTGGAGGTGATGATGGAGGTGGAGGTGGTGGTGGAGGACCTGGTCATGGTGGTCATAGTGGTGGAGGTGATTGATGGTGGAGATGGTAGTGGAGGTTGAGATGGTGGTGAAGGTGGTGGTGGAGGTGATGGTGGAGGTGGAGATGGTGGTGGAGGTGGAGATTGTGGTGAAGGTGGTCGTGGTGGTCATGGTGGTGGAGGTGATTGATGATGGAGATGGTGGTGGAGGTGGAGATAGTGGTGGAGTTGGAGGTGCTCATGGTGGGGATGGTGGAGATGGTGGTAGAGGTGGAGATAGTGGTGGAGGTGGTGGTGGAGTTGGAGGTGGTCATGGTGGTCATGGTGGTGGTGGTGATATGATAAAAGATAACATTTAGTAGGCAAATTGTCAGGTACTGTGCAAATCAATTAATGTTCATTATATCATACAATTTTTTAAAAATCCCTATATGATAGAGATTGTTATTTTTATCTATATTCATTTTGCAGATGAAGAGACAAGGGCTTCACTGGGTAGTCTTATCCAATGTCACATAGCTTGTAATAGCCAGAAGTGGGATTTAAACTGGGGTTGGTCTAACTTATAGTCTTAAACCCAGTATGTGCTCGTGTGGGTACACACCTTTTTTTATGTCCTAGAAAAACACTTAATAAATATATGCTAAATATATGAATAAAAGTAAGTGGATACAAGATGCGTATAAGTATGTAAATATTTATATAAATATGTCAAATATAAAGCAGTACATATATCTATGGATTACATCGATTGGTAGTGAGGTGGGAGGAGGTATACATGTGTCACTGAGCCTTCGTAGGGGGCACGGGTTGGGTGTCAGGCATCTGGGGACAGAGGCGTGCCTGTTACCTGCCATCTGAGTGAGATCTGACAAGTGAGATTTGGCCTTGAGGTTGGACTACATCATCTGTATGGAGGTTATGGCCTGCCAATTAGTTGAGCATTCTGCAAAAAATAACTGAAAACGGGGGACCAGGAATGGGAAGCTGAAGGAATGAAACCATGTTTTAGCATAAACAGTACCACCACAAACAGTAGTGGTAATGACAGTGTTAGTGCAAAAGAATCTAGAGAGAACTTTTAGTTCAATGTCCTTTGTTTTACAAATGGTGAAAGCCAAGCGGAAGGCTGGAGGAGTCAGCCAGGCCCCGTGCTGACCAATGGGGACTGCAGACCCCCCGCCAGCATCTCCCGCACCCCGGGTTCCCCCAACCTGAGCCAGTGCGCGCACAGTGACAGTGGCCACTTCTCAGAACCAGCAGAGGGTTCTGCTCGCGCTGTGTGCTGTGCTGTTCGGCCTGGTGGCGGGACTCGGGCTCAGCGTCTCTCTGTGTCCCGCAGCTGACCGCAGAGCTGGGGAGGCTGGAGGACAGGCTGGAGTGCGCCAACACCGCGCTCAAGGCCGACTGGGAGCGCTGGAGACGGAGCATGCGCAGCGACCTCACGGCCGCCTTCCGGGACGCGGCGGCGCGGAACGTCCAGTACTACGAGCAGGTGACTGCGCCCCGCACATCGCCTCCTTTATCAGGCTGTCTTCTCTCTTACCTTCTCTGCCCTGTGTTGGGAGAGTGTGCAGGAAGCAAGGGTCACTTGGCAGAGCCCCTTGGTAGCTCGGTGCCCGTGGACGTGCCAGTGGAGGGGGCGAGGGCGGGGACGCTCTTTCGTCTTGCAGCCCCTTGTGTGTGGTCCTTTCCCCTGAGCACTTGATAATGCTTCCTGATGACTCTCCTGCCGTAGTCCTTGCTCTCCCCCTTTGCTATGTGTGAATGGTCTGCAGAGTGAGGAAGAGCCCTGGTCGGAAGGAGCAGGCGGCAGTCTGTCCTGCCTGCTCCTGGCAGCCCGGCCTTGTCTCCCCTGCTGTTCAAAACAGCCACAGAGGAGCGCGCTGTTCTCCTGGGTGGTGTGTGTGTTTGTTTTTAGTTTAGTTCAGGTTTTTATTTCTTTTAGTCCAGGAAAGAGCTTAGTCATCATTTTCCTTTTCAAATGATTCATTATTTAAATTTTTTTTCTTTATTGATTTTTAGAGAGAGAGGAAAAGACAGGGAGAGCGAGATGGAAACATCGATGAGAGAGAACATCCACTGGCCCCCTCCTGCACGCCCCCCACTGGGGATCGGCCCACAACCTGGGCATGTGCCCTGACTGGGAATTGAACGGAGACCTCTTGGTGCCTGGGTCCACACTCAACCAGAGCCACACTGGCCAGGCTGATTATCATTATTTTAAAAACTAACAGTTCCTCAAAGCAGTTATTAATTTAAATGAATTTTACACCATCACTTTTTTCATCCAGCATATTCTAAACATTTTCTGGAAGGTGTATGTTACATGTATCTTTAACCTTATATCTGGCTGCATTAATGAATAGATGAAATTGATACATTAGGGAAAACTGTTTTATGCTTTATAGTCTATTGTCAGTTTAGAGGTACTATAAACTAAAATATTGCATATCTTGAAAGATGACCTAGCTGATAAGATATTTTTCATTCAACAAGCCTTATATTTGAGCACCTAATGCTAAGAGGCACTGCCGGGCCCCAGAGAGAGCACAGTGGGTAAGACAGCGAGGAAAACAGCCATTGCAACCAAAGATAATAATATAACATAACAAGTTCCAGGACAGAAAGACATCACAGGGGCATCGAACCTGGCACAGAAGGCATGAGGAAGTGCTTCAGAGAACAGGCTTCAGCCGCTATCTGACGGGTGGCCGAGTGAGGCCGATGCAAACTGGGGAGGAGTAGGTGCCCAGAAGCCTGGAAGGGACAGACACCGGCAGACCTGAGGTTCTCTTTGGAGGAGTGGAGGTGGAGCTGAGTTGGATGGAAAGTGAGGCTCAGAGGGGTGGAAAAGGTCTTCCTCGACCCTCCTTGAGTCCCTGGCTGGGGTGAAAATTAAACTGCAAACCGAGCAGGGCCCCTTTGCTGGAGTCTTCTCCCTGTCCCTTTGTCTTCGGAGATAATCCACCCTTTCCTCTGGCTGTCGGGAGGGCTTCTCTCCCATGAGGGTGTGAGGACCTGCTTCAGATGGAAGGGCTGGGGGCCAATCCAAAGGACTTTCCTCTTAAACTTTTTCAGCTTAAAATATCTATGCCAATGTGCATAGTTAGGGGAGAGCATGTCCTGAACCCCGTAAGGCTGAAAGGGCCTTATCTGTCTGGTCTTTTGTCTTTCATTCTATGGGAAGTGGGAAATGCCACTGAAGAGTTTTCAGCAGATGGGACTGTTTTGCAGACTTGCCTTTTAGAAAGTCCCTGGCTGCCAGCGGGTCCGAGTGGAGCGCAGTGGGACGTGATGAGACTAGCTAGGAGACGAGTCTGGAGACTAGTTAGGTGACAAGCTAGAAGACTAGTTAGGAGATGAGCCAGGAGACCGGTTAGGAGTCGGTTGCAGCAGCAAAGACAGAGGTGTGAACCAATTTGTGGCTTCATGGCAGTGGCCAGAGATTGGTGGACATACTCAACGTGTTTTTTTTTAAATAGGTGGGATTGGAGAGATCATTTTCTATTACGCCTTTAATTTCTTATTCTACATTAACAACCTTAAGTAAATTCAAGTATCTTAAGAGAATTTCTCATAAATCTCAGATTTTAAAATGATTTAAGATATTTCTGTTAAATAAAGCACATATACTACCTCAGGCTTTATTCCATTTAAGTGTTTCAACCCACAGAAATAACGTTACCTCTCTTACCGTGGAACCTGTCCACACTGGCACGTCTGGGCTGTTTTGACAGTCAGCTGAAGTCATTCCTCAGAAAATGCCTGGAAAATGAGAGCATGCAGTATGCTATCGCTGATCATGACTGTGAAACATAAGTATATTAGGGTATAAAAATCACATGACAGTACACCTACTGTGTTTCCCTGTAAATAAGGTCTGCAAGACTGTTCTGAATTAGGACTTTTAATTTTTTTAAGAGAAAATATTCATAGCCATTCTAGAGAACTCCCAACAGAAATATTTGACTTTGATACCTCTCACATAAATACATATTTCTATCATTCTCATAGACCGAATTCTGTTCATACAAAATACTATTACGAAACAATGAAATTAGTTATCACATGCCACATCGCACACACATATTGTCCTTCTCGGCATTTGATATCAGTATGTTATGTTTTTAATGCTTTCCTCCAAGTGAATTCTATTTCTTGAAAAACATTGTTTAATATGTTTTTATTGATTTTAGAGAAAGAGGAAGGGAGAGGGAGAGAGAAACATCAATTGCCTCCTGCACGCCCCCTACTGGGGATTGAGCCCACAACCCAGGCATGTGCCCTGACCAGGAATCAAACTGGCAACCTTTTGGTGCATGGGACAACACCCAACCAGCCATGGTGTGGATTATAGTTCTACATGGTACTGAATATATACCAGGTGTAGCATCTTGGGTATATGAAATTACAGGAATCATTGGTTTTCTTTATTATAACTTCAGATGTCCCCCAGAGCTCCAGTTATTTGTTTGGTTGGTTTTTTCCTCTGTGAATACCTTCTAAATGATTGGCCAGTCGGTCCAGGCACGACCAGAGCCCTGCAGTCCAGGCTCCCTAATTAGCACACAGATTGTGCTGTGCCCTGAACCAGTCAGCCTGCTGTTGTCTGTTAACTTCAGAATATCCCAGATACACAGTGAAGCAAAACGTGCCAGAATCTTTCCATTCCCTTTGTAAGTTTTATCACATCCTTATGGAAATATTTCCTTTTTCATCAACATTTGCAAAGATAAATTCCCAGAGGGGTTTGTTTCTAGTGTGATGAATGAAATACAGTATAAACATTTGCCTCTGGACTTTTATGAAGACAAATGGTCACAGCTGGTTCGTAACTTATAATTTAAATATCAAAGTGACTGAGGAAATCAGATTATGGATATAAGGTAGAGGTCTGCACCTGAGCCAATTACTGTCATATTGAACTGTGCTTGGGTGTGTGAATTTACCTGGAAAGAGTTGACCCCAAATATAAAATAGGTATTTTATAAAATGAAGTCATTCCCACTTTGTCCTATAGGACCAATAATTAAGAATAAATTTATTGAGTCTTTTTGAAAATGAGAATAACGAAACAGTAGAACCCAAGATCTAATTGAACACGAGTGAATCACTTCAAAGTCTTTTGGTACCCAAATAACTAACCAAAGACCATGATTCCCTGCTATAATACGGAGGGATGCTAAAACCACAAATCATGACACATTGGATAAAATGCATGATGTTTTCTAATTGTTCCCTAGCAGGTACAAAAGAGCATCTGTTTTGTTATTGATGCTGATGATAGTGATGATGATTATGATGATGGTGAAGAAATGTGAAAGAACATGATCCTTAGTATGTATTACAAATTGAAAGAATATAGTCTTTGAAAAGTTTAATATTGATATCATAACCATGAATAGAACACATAATGTTAATTTTTGCCTAATATAGTAGTTTGTTGTAAGGTGAACCTAATACTTAAAGTAACATAGTTTATTCTTTACACACTTTATTTTAGAATTATTTATTAGATAATGGATGGAGATTCTTGCTCCGTAGCCTTATTTTTCCAGTTATAAAAATTAATTCATTAGCACGAAGAACAGACAAGAACAGCAACAACAGAGCTAAGTACTCTGACAAATACAGAAATAAAGAGTGCTCATAACCTTCTCTTCTAGCGAGCTCCATTTTAACACCATTATGGGAAAACAATTTTCTGTGTTCAGATAAAAATATTGTTAAATGTCTACATGGCCCTTTCTGAGTGTGTCAACATGAAAACATGGGGTTACAGGACCAGGGCAGAGGTCCTCATTTCAGGCACTGTTAAGTTGCCCCAGGTAAAGTCATCATTTAAGAATCTGATCTGTTGCCTGGCCAGTGTGGCTCAGTGGTTGAGCGTCGACCCTGCACCAAGAGGTCGCCAGTTTGATTCCTGGTCAGGGCACATGCCCAGGTTGTGGGCTCAGTCCCCAGTGAGGGGCGTGCAGGAGGCGGCCAGTCTGTGTTCTCTCTCATTGATGTTTCTGTCTCCCTCTCCCTTCCTCTCTCTCTCAAATCCATAAAGAAAAAAATAAAAGAATCTGATCTGTCAAAGAGAGGTGTTGCTACTCCTCCTGTCACCTTGCCTCCCATCTGCACAGTCCTCACAGCTCTTTGGGAAAATAAAATTAGAAAATATGTGAAATGCTTTATAATAAAACACTTGAACCTCACAGCTGAGCTTCAGTAATTGTCCCGGAACCCAAAGGGAAACATGGTCCTTGTTTCAGTTCCCTGGACTTCGGTTAAACACACAGAGATGCCTGATGTTTGAAGTGTCGAGCACAAAACGAGGCACACTTCATGTAACTGGCTTGTCGTTAGTCAAAAACGGCGATGATATGACAGAAAAAGTACGGGTGGAAAAGGTACGCATTCAAATTTTGGCTCCTGGAGTAATTCTTCCTGTAAAGATGTTCAGTGTATTAGACCTTATGGAGCTGTGTTCCCAGGTATCAAAATGAGAAGTGGGACACGTGATATCCAGGGCTCCTCCTCCCCTGAGCAGCTCTGGGGCTGGAGAGCTAGACTAATAGTACAAAAATAGCAAGGAAATGGACCACAAGGTGGCGTTTCCAGCTAGTGAGTCCTGTGTTCACTCGCAGTCAAGTATTTGCAGTATTTACAAATGCACACTGATTACATATATTCTTGAGAGAGATATAAGTAAGTTCTAGGAAAAAATATGCAAATCCTGCTATTTTTAATTTATTGCTCTTTCTACAATTACATAAGTTGGCAGGTGATTCTTGGAAGCTGAATTTAGACTTTTCCAAAAATGAAATTATGAATAATTTGAGCTGTTGCAAAATAATAAGAGTTACTTTTCTCTAGTAACACCATCTCTAATTTCTTTTAGATTGATGACTTTTCATAATTTTAAAATAGGCCCCTCCTGGAAGGTCTCCTCACTGTTTGGAATCCTAGGGCTAGGTAGCAGAAGCGATTGCTCTCAGCTGTCGCCCTCATTTAGGTATGCTCTGCAATCTTTTAATGTAATTGATTTGACGTGATAGTGGCTTCATGTAGAGATGTTTACATGTCTGAGCTTCAGTGTATCTTCAAATGTAGGTGGTGGCATCCGTGCCCAAGGTCATATGAGTCAGCATGAAGATGCTTAGAGGCCACTCAGGCATGATTCTCACTTTTGGTTTATTGAGAGAGAGGCGGCGAACACAGTACTGTCTAAAAAATGCTTTTAGATGACTGGGGAAAATGAGAAACATGACAGTTTTTGCCTTAATATGGAAATTTCTGGTTTTAAAAGAAATATATGGTAAAGCTTGGCTTTTATTACATTTTATAATAACAGGTATTGTTATTTTAGGCAAATGTATAGTTATTTTACTTTATTATCATAGAGATATAGAGATAATATTTGTGAATTTGATTTATGTGATAATTTGGATGAAACTAAATTTTCTTTTACAATGACAATATATACTCAATATTATTTTGCATGAGTTCCAGGCATACAGCACAGTGTTGAGACAATCACATACTTTACAGAATGTCCCCCTGCTGTTTCCGGCACCATACACATTTACTACAGTATGACTGACTCTGTTCCCTGTGCTGTGCTTTATATTCCCGGTGGCTGTTTGTACTTCTTAATCCCTCCCCTTTTCACCCAGCCCCAACCCTGTGCCTTCTGGCAACCGTCCGTCTGTTCTCTGCATCTATGAGTCTCTTTGTATGAAACTAAATGTTTCACTAGCTGTTCTGTAAACAGGGTCATAGCATTACCTGTAAAGACATTAAGCTTCACGTTGGTGTTATCACATGGTGGCTGAGCTCGGGCTGCGGATGGTGTAACTCGTGACCTTGCTGAGAGATCTTGAAGCCTTTTACTTATTTCAGTGTCCACATCTATAAAGCACTGAAAATAATAGTGCCTGCTTCATGGATCAGTTTGGGTGTTGAGGTGTGTGTGTGTGTGTGTGTGTGTGTGTGTGTAATAGAAAAAAGCAAAATTGTACATTCCTAGTAAGTCACGAAAATAAATGAAACATACTCAAAAATATTTTTCTGGAGTCTCAAACACCTTATCTCTAAGTCATGACTTCTTTCCCTTGAGCCTGAAATTAGAAACATAGAAAATAAGTTTCCAAGCTGTTTAATAGATAGAGAAACTATACGTAATCCTTAACTCAGTACCTAGCACGTGATAAGGTTTCAGTAAGTGTCGACTACTGGTAGTAATAGCTGCCATTGTAAATATGTCTCATTTATTTATGAATCTTTGGAAATTCTTTGTAATGATGATTATAACTATTGAAGACCAAGGGGAGAGGTACAGTTTTATGTTTCTTGCTTTTCCACTCTTTGTCATGCCCAGCAGAGCAAGGCACAATTGTAAATTGTGTGTGATCACAACTAGCCCCTGGAAACCTGGCCTTTTAGTTCTAGGATGAAACTTAATGGGCGCACATAGTCCGAGCCCTTATCCTGGGACCATGTAAACAGGCCCAAAGGACAGAGAGCTAAATGTTCGGTAGAACTCATTAGTAAAGCCAGTTGGGCCTGGAATTTTCTTCGTGGAAAGTTATTTAACACCAAATTTAAATTTATTTGGATTAATAAACAATTTTGCATGATTTCATTTTAGATCTTTTCTTGGTTTATTAGGTATAACTTTTTTATTTTTTTATTTTAGTGGTTACTTTCAGTCTTATTGGATGTATCTTATGGTTTGCCTTTAAGTAACATTATAGTACTTCACCTGTCATTTAAGAACCTGCAATTATATTCTTCCATTTCTTTCTCCTGGCCTTTATGCTTTTTTTGTGATATATTTTACTTATACATATATTGCAAATTTCACAAGATCATGTTACTGTTATTAATTAGCTAGTCAATTATATTTTAAATATATTGAAGCACTAAAATGTTATGTGTGTAACCATATAGTTACTATACCTAGTACTCTTCATTCTTTTGCATGGATCCTTCTTTCTGTGTGGTCTCATTTCTTCACTGCCTTGTAGACTTCTTTAAAGAAAAATATTTAGTTCCATCTGTTGGTGATAAATTCTATAGCTTTTGGAAGTCTGAAGATATCTTTATTCTGCCTTTATTTTGAGGGGTATTTTTGCTGAGCATAGAATTCTAGGTTGACAGTGTTTTTTCTTCCACTACTTAAAAGAAATGTTGCTGCTGCCCTGGATTATGTTGCTCAGTGGTTAGAGTATCTGTCCAGGCACTGAAGGGTCTCAGGTTCAATTCCCAGTCTAGGGCACATACCTGGGTTGCAGGTTCAATCCCTAGCTGCAGTTGGCACACGTGCAGGAGGCAACCAGTTGACGCCTCTCTCTCATTAGGATGTTTCTCTCTCTCTCCCAACCCTGACCGGGAATCAAAGTGGGACCTCTCAGTCCATGGGACAATGCGTAATTCACTGAGCCACACCAGCCAGGCTATAGTGGGTTATTTCAGCAAACTAATCCATGCTAATCTTTTAGCCTTTTATATGCTTCCCTTTATTGAGCAATAGTTTCCGTCATTAAGAATTAAAATTTGTAGAACATGACAAGTATTCTGGCAAGCTGGTGGGACAGTGGAACAGGGAGATTACTGTAGCACAGACAGGTAAGGACTGTTCACCCTTTACCACTGACCATAAACGACTGCTCATCTCGTGGTGTGTGTTTCTGTTACTCAGTGCCTTGCTACCTGGGAATCCTTCCTAATGTCACAGACCGACCTCCACACCAAAGAACCCTCTGAAGACAAACCTTAACCCATGAAGCCTTCTGCGTGAGCTGCGGGAGAGAGCGTCCAGTAGCCAAAGTTAGTCCTCTGGGTGGGCCGTATCCTTTTAAAGTGGATGAAAAATGTTTCCCACTATCTGGAAAACCAATAAGTTGAAACTCAGGTGTTCCAGATCACTGATATAAATTGGGAGATATATGTATAGCTTAGTTTTAATTATGTTCTTAAATTTGTATGCCAATAATGAGGTATAGAGATTTTTTTTCTTAAATATTTGTCTGTGGAACATGTCATTTTAAATATATTGTAAAGACTCAATTTTAATAAAAAGTTTAATATGAAATGGCTGGCTGTGACGCGTCCTGTCGGCGCGTGAGCCCCGAAGCAGCGTGTGACGTGGACGCTGGCAGCCGGCAGCGTGGTCACCTCCTTCGGCACAGCCGCCTCTGACACCCCTCTTCACTCGGGACTTTGAAGTAAATCTAAAAGTTATTTAATATTACTGAACATTCATGATGACTGTTCAAAAGTTGGTTCTTTAGAGCTAAGAAATTGTTTTCCACAGTTATAAAAAGGTACCACCGTAGATTTAAATGACGGAGTGAGTTAGAAGTCATTGAACAGTCATCTTCCCACTGGTCAGTGTGGGGAGGTATTTTTCTCGTCGTCTTCACGAGCCCCATCAACCTGTAATTTGTACTGTACACAGTGTCGTCAGATTTATCCTTCCGTTTATGTATTAAATGCTGCTGCTTGTAAGGCACACTCGTGCTCATGATCCACAGTGGTAGATCATGCTCCAGACTTACACCCAGTGGCAACGGTCACACCAAGTGTTTCCTATCCACGTATGGCGGTATTTGAAAACCGATTACGTTGATTATTGAACAGTTGCTAATTTCTGGAAATAGATATTTCGCAAGACTGAGTAAAATTTGAGGTATTGGGTTATGCATGTTATGTTACAGGCATGCCTTTATTTTTGTGTTTTAGCCCTTAAATGAGTGTCTCACACACACACAATGAGACATTTAAAGAATCTTAACCAAAATGAACATGAGCACATACATAAATACAGAAGTAAACATTTTTCTTAAATGCAATAAAGACCCTGCCTCTATTTTCCGTGTTTGCTGACAGCCTCAGGCCACACCTCCCTCCTGCCCCTCCTGCCCCTCCTGCCCCGCCTTTGGGCAGCAGCTGACACAGGACAGTACCCTCACTGGGCTCTCAGAGGACCTTCAAACCACACTCCGCTCTCTGCGTGTACATTGTTCATCTCCCGCAAACAGCACCCCGTACCTTTTGGCCATCACTCCCTACCCTGCCCCTTCTCCTCAGGCCAAAGGAACTGCTACCTTGCTTTCTGTCTCTATTTGCCATCTACATTTCCCCTTTCTAGACATTTCATATTAAAGGAATCATGTAATAGCGATCTCTTGTAACTGGCCTAACAACATGTTCAACGTTCATTTATGTTGCAGTATTTGCAAGTATTTCATTTTTGTTTGTGGTAAAATATATTCCATTGTATGGATATGTCACTTTTTTTTTTTAATCCTCACTCAAGGACATTTTTTGCATTTATCTTCAGATAGAGTGGGAGGGAGAGAGGGGGAAAGAGAGAGAAACATCCATGTGAGAGAGACACTTCGAGTGGCTGCCACCCACACGACGCCAACTGGGGCCGAGGACAAACTGCAACCAAGGTACATGCCCTTAGTGGGAACCGAACCCGGGACTCTGGTCCACGGGCCGACGCTCTAACCACTGAGCAAAACCAGCCAGGGCTGGATATGTCACATTTTATTTATATATTATATTTGTTTGTCCTTTCATTGATAGACCTTTGGGTTGTTTTCAACTTTGGCTTTTACAAATAATGCTGCTAGAAAAGTTGGTGTACACATTTTTGTGTGAACGTGTTTTTATTTCTCCTGGGCCTGTACCAAGGAATTGAAATTGAAAGGTCACATCACAACTATATTAAGCTATTCGTGGAGCTACCAGACTGTTCCAAGGGGGCTGCATCGTTTCCCATTCCGACGAGTGGTGTGAGAGGTTCTGATTTCTCCGCAACCTCATTGACAACGGTTATTTTCTGTTGTTGTTGTTGTTTTCCCTTTATTATAGCCATTCTAGTGGGTGAAGTGGTATTTCATTGTTTTGATTTGCATTTTCTGTTGCATCTTTACATGTGCTTATTGGCCATTTTGTATATTCTTTGGAGAAATGTCAGCTCCTTTGTCCATTTTTAAAGTTAGGTTATTTGTCTTTCTATTATTGAGTTGTACAAGGTATTTATATATCCTAGATCCAAACCTCTTATCAGATTATGATTTGAAAATATTTCTTTCTCTTTCTCAATAATGTACGTTGAAACATAGAAGTTTCAATTTTGACGAAGATCAGTGTCTCCAGCTCTCCCTCGCTGGCTCATGCTGTTGGTGGTGTGTCTAAGAATCCATTGCAAACCTGAGGGTGCACAGATCGACCCCTGTGCTTTCTTCTGAGGCTTCACTTTTAGACGAACCCACGTCGAGTTAATTACTCTATATGATGTGAGGGAAGGGTACAACTCCATTCCTGCACATGAGTGCGCCACCTGTCCAGCACCAGTTGCTAGAGAGACTGTGTCTTATCATTTCACCATATCAGTTCCCCAGTGGGTCCCTGAATTCTGGCCAAGAAAGAATTCAGAGTCAAGACTCAAATACAACCAAAAGTTTTTAGAAAGTCACAGAGGTAGAAGAAGTGAGCCAGCCTGGGGTCATGGGCTCAAGAAACTACAGAGGCAGAAGCAGAGCCCTTGGAACTTGGGAGAAAGAAAGGCAGAGAAAACACGCCTTAGGGCAGGAGAGGTGGAAGGGTGCGGGCGGCGCCAGAGAGACACACTGGGTCCTTCTTCTTAAGGACTTTTATCTGCAGGTCTCAGCGGAGGATCTCAATACAGTATTCATCAGCTTTCCAGCTGTGTCTCCTCAGGGTCATGGCCTCACTGATTGGTTGGCATCCAGACAGGGCATCATTAGCCACTGCAGCTGATCCTGGCGTCGTCATGGCATCACCAGGGCATCACCCACGTGGCCTGGCTGCTTCTCTGGGCCTGGAGCTGAAATACCACTGAGACGGGGATGTCGTCTCTAGTTTGACCAGAACTGTCTCTGTGGTCAGCAGGCCCCAGGCTTTGTTCCTACGAGTATTTCATACAGGCCAGGGCCTCGCTGTCCTGCGGCTTATTGCTTAAGGCAGTGGCTGTGCAAGGGGGGACACAAGGCTGTGCTCCAGCCCCCTTGTTCCTCCCCTGATGGACTCTACCGCATGACTGACATCATGCCGGGGGAGGAAAGGTCAGAGCGGGTTTGAAACACATGACCAGCAATATGAAAGGTCAGGGGTTTCTAAACTGCGTGACTACGATATGCGAGGGGAGAAAGGTCACCTGGGAGCAAGGTCCCACGACTGTCCTTTGCTAGGCAGCTGGGGGCTGTCTACCCTGGTGACCTTCCGTGCCTGGCGCATTGTTCCTGCCCTGCCCCACTGTGTCACTTGAGCTTCCGGTGTGGGTGCCTTGAACTGGTCCCAGTGCGTGCTGTGATGGTGGCTATTAGCAACAGGAATTGTGATGGCTGGATGCCTCATCATAAAAAGCTTTGTAACAGCAACAAAATAACATATTTGACTTTTACTTAAAAAAAAAAAGACCTACCCTGGCCCTGGCCAGTTTGGCTCAGCGGTCAGAGCATTGGCCTGCGGACCAGAGAGTCCCGGGTTCTGTTCCTGCTAGGGGCACGTACGTAAATAAATAATAAACAAATAAATGAAAGACCTACCCTAAAGTGTGCGTGTACCTTTCACTCAGCACATGCCTGTCTCAGTGACTGCCCCCAGACAGCGGGTCCTTCTGCCCAGCTCCCCTCCCCCAAGCATAGCAGTAAACTATCGGAGAAGTGTCCCAATGGCCAACTTGAAAACACCAGGTGTAGGGTGACAGCGCAGCTTCAGAGAGAAACATAAGTTGTCTGGAAAGCAAGCCTTCTAGCAGCCCAGCCTGACATCTAGCTTATAAATGTAGAAACAGTGTTCCTGAGTGTTTAATAATGGCTTTGGATAGACTCCTGGAGTCGTTAGTGGTAGAATTAAATTCTGAGCATACTGTAAAAAAAAAAGGCATTTTAACATTTAAAATTCTGAGCTTGTTAGTTAAGCATTCCAGGCCCCGATTCCCACCTGTGGAGAGAGGAAATTGGTCTGCCAAGTCCACGTCACTGGGGGGTACGAGAATAAATTATACACGCTGACTCTGGCTGCTTGCTTTGACAAAAAAAAAAAAAAGTGTTAAATTCTACATGGGTTTTCCCTTGCCCCCTACCCTACCCTAATGCTCGAAACTTCTAGCTCATCCATGAATTCAGGCTGTCCTGAGATACAGCAAGCAGACTGGCCCTTGTTCCTGAGGTATACGTTACATTGAGAAGGTTCCGCAGAGGATGCATGTGTGTGAATATAAACAGACACAGGTACATATTTGAGTTCATATTTATGTATGTGGTGTGTGCATGTGTGAATATAAACAGACACAGGTACATATTTGAGTTCATATTTGTGTACATGGTGTGTGCATGTGTGAATATAAACAGACAGGTACATATTTGACTTCATATTTGTGTATGCGGTGTGTGCATGTGTGAATATAAACAAACACAGGTACATATTTGAGTTCATATTTATGTACGTGGTGTGTGCATGTGTGAATATAAACAGACACAGGTACATATTTGCGTTCATATTTGTGTACGCGGTGTGTGCATGTGGTGTGACGATGTGTGTGCATAGAGATTAGTGGAGGGACGTGCGTTAGACATCACCGGAGCAGGAAGCCGCTGCAAGCGTGCTGGTGCTCGGGGTCCGGCCCCCTTCGCAGGTGTCACAGCTCCCCGGGTTTGAAGGTGCACACGTGTGTCTTCGCAGGTTACTGAGCAGGGAGAGCCTTTCCGGTGGGACAGCTGTGTGTGCGTTGCTCTCCCCTTGGCGAGTGTGGCTCTTTAGGGCCATAATTACGGATGTTCCAAAGAGCGAAACTCAACCTCCACAGCTCCTGGTTATATGTATCTTAACATAAGTCATGGAGGTTGAAGACTGTATTCTGCATTCTTAAACATGACAGGGCAATCTTTAGGTAAGATCGGAAGAACAATGCTTCCTCACTTTAAGGGAAATCATCCCTGAACATGCAATTTAAATAGCTAATCAGAGCTGGTTAAATGAGGCATTTGA